TATAGTGTGTGTTGAGCTGCCCGCATGACAATTCTGAGTGATACCTCGGACCTTTTCATCTGATAATTCAGTTGGTTGCGCAGGTGGTCGGTTGGGCAACTCCACCTCCGCACAAAGAAAAGAGATCCGTGCAAACCTGGCGCCAACGAAGCGTTCGCCCGTTGACGATTCTTGGCCAACTCGTGTTAAGGTCCCACAGGAATATTATGTGCATATTAAGCAGTCCTAGGGCCTGGAATGATTGGAGTACTTTTGGGGGGAATAATCGAGATGCATTGTGACGGGGGGCTCCGCCTGCTGTTTGCCTGGATAAGTCGCGGGACAAGTGGTGAGTGATTTTCCTGGGCGAGATTGTGCGTCGGTTTAATGCAAGATGATGTGAGAGGCTCATTGGGGCCGAGTGTCCTGATCTTAATTTTCCGGTGGCCTGGGGGCCGCGAGCCGGCTGAAAGCTAGTTTACACCACGTCGAAGCAGAGGATAATGCGAAAGACTCGGTTGGATCGGGTGGTTTAATAAACACGTCGACATGAAGGCAGTTCCGACAAACAACCTCACGTGCTGATTGTCGATGGCGTGTACTCTGTGCTCCGTAGTTTGCTGGACATGGAGTAGCATTGAACCAACCGACCCACGTCGTGCGAAAGCCAAGCCTCGTGCCCATGTCGTCGCCGACAAGGCGTTTCCCGCAGGAGAAGGAAGAAACGTGGATTGATGCTTGCGCAAGCGAGAAGACGGACGGACGCCAGACGCAGGTGACGATGTTGTTGGTGTCTCAATGTGAGCATTCTGAGTGATGAAGCAGCCAGGATTGGCAGGAGCCACTACGGCAGAGGCAATCATAAAAAAAAAAAGACGACTAGAAACAGAAAACAAGACACACCACCAAGGCAATATTCTCAGGTCAAGACACACATTGTACGGCTGCATCCGAATCGAGGTGACACACAATAAATGCAGGCTGACCCCAGTTCAAGGCGAAAGTCAATCCATTATCGAGCTGCAGTGCAACCAGCAGACTTCAGCACTGCTTGCCACCCGCATCACCCATTCGTTGTCGCGAACATCTTTAATATCTCACGCTACTCCATGGACCCGCCGTCATTTTGGTTCCAAGCGTGGAAACTTTGGTCCACACTAGCCGACACCAGCGGTTCCTGTTTCTGGGGTCGTTTGGCCGTTTTTTTTTTTTTTTTCGTCGCGGCCAGACCCTGTTCTGTCTTGTGTTTCCCTCCGACTCCTCGGCTTCGCCACTTTTGTTGGCGATTTGGCGACTGCTGCTCAGAACTGACGAACCCCGACGCCTTGGCCACGCATGGAATACGTGCCTGGTTGACGTGTGTTTTTTCGTCTTTTCGCTCCATCCTCGTCTTGGCTAATCCGAGTGCCTTCGGCCAGCAGCTATCCACCGGGACAATCCCGTCGTGACTGTTGCAGTGAAGTCGTGAGAGCCGGAATCCGCCGCCTCCAACCGTCGTTGCGGCCAATTGACACCGTCATTGAGCCATCGTCTCTCTCTCGACGAGACCATTTTGTCATGGTGAATGGCCTCGGGCGTGCAGCTAACTCCAGACCATTCCCGTGAACCGCTCGTCTTTTCTCCCAGTCTACTCACCCCAACCGCCCAGGATGGCTTCAACTGGCGTCGACCGTCCCGCGCCGCCAAGCTACTCTGACCAGGAGAAAGCTGCTGTCCTTGGTGATAAGCTAAATGATGGTTCCCATGCTGAGCCAGTGACTTGCCGACGGCTCTCTCTGTCTTCCGGTTCAAAGCACGACGCTACTCATCGCCAGCTCAAGTCCCGGCATATCCAACTCATCGGCATTGGTGGCACCATTGGCACCGCCCTTTATGTGCGTAAAGAATTGTACAATCCTTGATTCAATTGTTTCGTCTTGCTCGTCAAGTGCTCATGGTCGCGTCGTGCTGCCTGCAGGTTCAAATCGGTAAAGGCCTTTTAAATGGCGGCCCCGGCAGCTTGTTCATTGCCTTTAGTTTTTGGTGCACCTTCGTTCTCGCCATCACCTTGTGCATGGCCGAAATGGTTACTTACCTGCCCCTCTCGTCGCCCTTTATCCGGTTTGCTGGTCGCTATGTTGACGAGGCCTTTGGATTCGCCGCTGGCTGGAATTTCTTCGTCTTGGAGGCGGCCCTTGTGCCGTTCGAGGTCGTAGCCTGCAATTTCATTCTTCACTTTTGGACCGAGGCCATACCCACAGCTGCCGTTATAGTCATTGTCATTGTCCTGTACGCTCTGATAAACCTCCTGGCTGTCAAGTGGTACGGCGAGTCGGAGTTTTGGGCTGCCATCGGCAAGGTGCTGCTGATCGTAGGGCTCATCATCTTCACCTTTGTTGTAATGGTTGGCGGTAATCCCAAAGGTGATCGCTTCGGATTCCGCTTCTGGAGCGACCCTGGTGCTTTTGCTCCTCTCTACTACGAGGGTTCTCTGGGACAATGGCTAGGCTTCTTGCAGTGTCTGATTCAGGCTGCTTTTACCATTGCCGGTCCCGATTACGTTTCCATGGCTGCTGGTGAGGCCGAGAACCCGCGAAAGGTTATGCCTCGAGCCTATAATGCCGTCTTCTATCGGCTGACGGCTTTTTTTGTTCTTGGGTCTCTATGTGTCGGCATCCTTGTTCCGTACAACGACAAGGAGCTGACGGCGGCCTTCAAGAACTCTGCCCCGGGAGCAGCTGGCTCGCCGTATGTCGTTGCCATGAACCGTCTGGGCATCACTGTTCTACCTCACATCGTCAACGCTATGGTGCTGACGGCTGCCTTTTCTGCGGGCAACTCCTACGTCTACTGTGCGTCCCGTTCCTTGTACGGGCTGGCACTGGAAGGCAAGGCCCCCAAGTTCATGACGAGATGCACTAGGAAGGGTGTACCTATTTACTGCGTCTGCTTTGTGCTGTTGTTTGCCCTCCTTGCCTTCCTTCAGCTGTCTGAAAATGCAGCCGTGGTCCTGGACTGGCTTGTCTCGCTAGTCACGGCTTCGCAGCTCATCAATTTCAGCTGCGTATGCACATCATACCTCTGCTTTTACCGTGCCCTCAAAGTCCAGGGGATAAGCCGCGACACCCTGCCCTACAAAGCGTGGTTCATGCCCTACGGCGCGTACTATGCACTCGTAGCCACTGTCGTCATGGTGTTTGTGGGAGGATATCCGGTGTTTCTGCCTGGCCGATGGAGCGTTGCCGACTTTTTGTTCTCGTGAGTTTCATCTCTATCCACCGCGAGTAAGATGCTGATATTTATAGATACACTATGCTTGCTGTGTTTCCTGCCCTCTACGTTGGATACAAATTCATCCACAAGACGAAAATTCTCAAACCAGAGGAAATTGATCTAGTCAAGGACCTCGACACGATTGAGGACTATGAGCGCAATTACATTCCTCAACAGCCGGCGTATGTTGATTTCTGAGTATTGACATGTCTCTTTGACTGACTCTGATAGGAACCGATTTGAAAAGATGCTAGACCTGTTATTTGGATAGGTAGATGCCGCAGGGAATACATCTAATGAGACCACGTCTGCAGCCGTACGTTTTTGTGTCTTTTTGTGCCATTCACACCGTCATTTCTTCGTATACTGAAGCCGAAATCGTAGTCGTCGTGGCTGACAATGATATCTGTCGTGCGAGTAAACACCTGGTCTCCAAATTGGCTGCGTACAATACAGAAACGATGCGGGAATGGCGGTGTCATATTCGTGAGGAATGTGCCCAAAGCGTCAAGCATATTTTCCGTTTCGCATGTTGCTACGCGGCTTACCGGCTTCAACCACCCTCTGCTATTGGCGCTCTTTTTCGCTGGCTGGCCATGCATTTGCGGCAGTTGTGCACTGAACTCATGGAAGACTTGCAAGGTATATGCACATTCTAGATTGAGCTTGCACATGTGGCGCATGTCACGGCTCACGTCCATCTTGACTTGACCACGTTGTTGCGGTGCTGTGTGCGATGACATTTTGGCTTTGTCTATGGATAAATTAGAGCGCCATAACGAGTCATGATTATTGTTAATTGCTGCTATGCTGGTATCGAGTCCCATGCCCGGTAAGGAGATGAGTAGACATGAATGGCCGAATGCGGTTGAGTATTATGGGAGGCCATGTCAACTTGGCAATAATCTAGCTTACAAATGATCTATCGTTACCAAAAAAAAAGGACGTCTAGTTCCAACAATCGCATTACTTCAGCAACGGCGCTTGTTCAGGTGTAGTTTCAGCTGTGTAAAATGCGGACATCGAGTCGACGGAGAGACCACCCACTCTGCTGAACGAGATTGTTGGACGCACGAGACATATTAAACCGACGTTGGGTAAGAATTTGAATGAGCGGGCACAGAGGTACTTTGCCGCCATTACACATTTGTAGAGGCGAGTTTCTGTCTCTCATGAGCTGCGCCTCGGATGGTAGTGGGCGACTTTGCTTACACGAGCTGTGAGTCAAGAAGGTTGGGTGAATCATTTGATCAGCTCGGTGCTATCAGTCCATTACTTTTGTTGTCTTTGATCCGTGTAGTTGTGGGTGTTTCGAGTGCGTTGAGTTGAAGACGCCGTACGTTATCTACTCTACTCCCGGAATTGACCTACGAACAATCACATGCCTTTTACTGCTACATTATTACTTGTACCATCACGCCAAGCATGCAGGCACGCACTGCAGAAAGTCAATATTACGAACTCAGGTGAGATGAGGCGCTGACACCGCTCGAGTTACATGCTTCGGCGAGGGTATACTCGGTTACCGGTTTTCCCGAGATATCGCCCTCTCGATTTCCCTTCAACGTCATGTCATGCCGCGAAGCTTGTTACACAACCGCTTCTCCACAAGGTTCGCAATGTCAGCAGCGGTATGACTAACACGGCCAGGAGACTAGACACGTTTGACGGGAGGGCTGCTACCTCATATTTAATTGCCCGGTTGAATCTTCAAAAACAATTGTTCAACCCGACATACGCTGCCCGCCTCTCCCTTCTTAAGCTCCAGAATGTCTCTTCCACTGCGAACCCTCGGCCGAAACGGCCCGCCCGTGTCCCCGGTCGGCCTCGGATTCGGGAGCCTCGGTGGATTCTACGGACCACCCGGGACCCGGGACGAGAAGCTGGCTCTCCTGGACCACGCGTACGCCGTCGGTCTGCGCTTCTGGGACCTGTCGGATGTCTACGGCGACTCCGAGGAGCTTGTCGGCGAGTGGCTGAAGCGATCGGGCAGACGCGAGGACGTCTTTCTGTGCACCAAGTTTTCGCTCCAACGCCAGGCCGATGGGAGACACACGTTCCGCTCCGACCCCCAGCACGTAAAGGAATCGTGCGACAAGAGCCTTGCCGCCCTGGGTGTTGCCGCAATCGACCTCTACTACTGCCATGCCGTGGACGGCGTCACGCCCATTGAGCGGACCATCGAGGCCATGGTTGATCTAAAGAAGTATGTCCGCACTCCCCTCGGCTGGCACCTGGAAGCAAGAATTTCTCACCAGTCTCAAAAACTTGAACAGCCAAGGCAAGATTCGACATGTCGGGCTATCGGGAGTCTCGGCCGCCACGCTGCGAAGGGCGCATGCCGTCCACCCGGTTGCCGCCCTGCAGTGGGAATACAGCCTGTTCACGCTGGACATTGAATCGCCAGCAAACGATATTTTGAAGACTTGTCGCGAGCTGGGCGTTGCCCTGGTGGCCTTTAGCCCCGTTGGGCGCGGCGTTCTCACGGGCCGGTTCCGGTCGCACCGGGACATTCCCGAGGGTGACTTGCGCCGTTTCTATCCAAAGTATGCAGAGGGCAACTTTGCCGAGATCCTGAAGCTGGTCGGGGGCATAGAAGACGTAGCCAAGGACCGTGGGGGAAGCACGCCGGCACAGGTGGCTCTTGCGTGGCTGCTGGCCCAGGGGCCGGACATCATCGCCATCCCGGGCACCAAGTTGGCCTCTAGGATGGACGAGAACGCAGGTGCTGCGCTGCTTCGGCTGGGCGACGAGGAGGTGCAGAGGCTTCGGGACCTGGCGGAGCGAGCGGATATCAAGGGCACTCGGTACCCTGCTGCGTAAGTAGTATCGATCTTTCAATTTGCCCTTGATCCCGTCGGGTGTTGACTGGCTGGATAGTGTTATGGCAACTCTGCACCAGGATACGCCTCCATTGTAGGATGTAGAAGGACCTGTATCTGAACCGAGTATATTAGAACCCCCCGGGGACTTTGGTGCTCGCAATAAAGGCTGGATATTGGATCCCTTGTTGAGCAATGTCGTGGGTCAGGGGGGGGCACTTATTGAGGTAGATGCGCCACTGCTGCATTGGGGGACGGATTTACGTGAATTGATTAGAATATTGTTAGGATAGGGTTGCAATTAGTCTCCTGATTCATCTGCTGCTGTATGCTCATGCGCAATTGTGTTAAGCGCCCCTATTTAGTCGTGCTTCTCCATGATTCGCTTTAAGCGAACTGTGTGCAAAACCAAATAGCCTCATGCGGTTCCAGATACTGCTTGAAGAGATGGCGTGTATTGCGTATGGTAGGCCATACCGGCTTTTTTCATCTTCTTATTCACATACTACTGCTTAGTGCTGGTAGTGTACATCTGACATTGCTGCATCACCATGAATTGAAAGACGGTGGGCCAGATATTAATTCTCGTGTAAACGGGAATCGTCCTCACAGCTCAACTGAACCAGGTCTATACGAGCCATAATGTTTGAGGATCTTAATACAACCGCGTGCTAGGAGGTCAAAATCATACCGGCTTTCTACTACTGGTGGCCTCTTATACGCCTCCTGCGAACCACATCGTGCTATCTACTTTCGAAGAGTAGGAAAAACCCCTAACCTCAGGTAATCTAGCAAGGCACACGAAGAAGTGTAGCACAAAATTACCCCGTGATGGAGTTTCTATAGCCATGGAATACTCTACTTTCGATCCAAGAACACTCACGGCGGCCTCGACGGCAGGATCAAGCACATTCTGTTAATGGTGGTGCGGACTCGACTCGGCAAAAGTCAGACGAAGGAGGACGACCGAGCGGCTAGCGTTTCAAACATGAATTCAGATCCTAGCTTGCTTGTTGCAACACTCAATCTGTGCTCTGTTGCAATTATCTGGTTTATAGCCTAGTGACTTGGCACTTTGGTATAATCTGTTTGTCCTGAGCCAACATTCACGGATATATGGACTATTCAAATCCCCTGCCGGCCTTTGTGATAGCAACTATCGATTGAAATGTTCCTTCACGGGCCGTGAGTAGCAATATATTTGACATTTATCTATTGATGCGGCCCATCTAGCCTCGACTGAGAACACTGTGATGACTTGCATATCCCCCTGACAGAGAGAAGCTTTCACCGCAGTTCCTAAGACTGGAAAGTGACTGCGCGTTTCTGTAAGTTGCCATTGCCATTGCCGCCGGTACTACCATCACCTTGGGCACCGCCGCCGACACTGCCATTACCTTTGCCGTTACCTTTGCTATTACCGCCGGCACTATCATTGGCATTGGCATTGCCTTTACCGTTGCCTTTGTTATTGCCAGTACCAGTACCAGTACCAGTACCAGTACCAGTGCCATTGCCAGTGCCAGCGCCAGTGCCAGTACCAGCACCATTACCAGTACCATCGCCATTACCTTTCTTATTACCGGTAGCATTACCATTGTCAGTTCCATTGCCATTGCCTTTTTTATTACCATTGCCGCCGGTGCTGCCATTGCCCTTCTTATTGCCGCCGGATGTGTTGCCATTAGGATTCGTCGAATTGCCCGCAGCAGCACCGACCATTTGGAAAGCAAGCACGCCGCCAAAAGGACCAGCGCGGCTGGGATTGGCAACCTTGAGGAGACAGACGTTCTGCTGGTCGCCAACAGTTCCCTGGCAAGTTGTCCCGGCCGGGATATTAACCTTGAGGTCCTGCAGAGGAATGCCGCATGCATATATTAGTCAATGCCGCAAGTTATAGAACAGACTCTGGCCGCGAGACCACTTACAAAGTCCTGATTAACGTTCTGGGCTCGCTTCCCGAGGATACGAGGAAGCAAATCGCGGATGCCCTTGCTCTTGGCTTTGCTGTTCGGCAAGCGGTTGCTCGCCTCGGGCCCCGGGGCAATATTTCCATTCTTTCCCGGGACCTGCGTCGCTATCTCGGCTTCTGTGCCTTGCGAGAACTTGCCCGTCCCGGAAGGGTCAATGATGGCCTTGACGGGGCCGCCGCCGTCCTGTCATCAGAGTAAGCTAGGGTGTTTTGCAGGAACAGGGACACAAGACGTCATTCGGAAGCCATCGTACAGTAGTGACGACATGGTAAGTAGCAGAAATGGACCCGCCATTACTGCTGACTTGGGGAAGGGTCGAGCCAGACATGCCAGCGACGCGGACCATGTCCTTGACGGAGTTCTTACCGCCGGCAGTGGTCCGGCCCAGCCCGTCTGAAGCGGCGTTTCTGGATCCGAACACGGTCGAGTCGAGCTCCGTCTTGCTGTTGGGACCGGTCCTGGGCACGACGGCACCCATGATGCCGAGGGCGGTGGTGTTGCCGCCCGCATCGCCGGTCTGGGAAAAGGGGACAATTTGTTAGGAGCACTGGTATCATGGGTAGGGCTTTTGAGTGACCTACTGCAACGCTGATCTTGCTGTGGGCTTGGACAAGAGTGGAGGAAAAAGCCGCCAGGGCTACGTAGATTGTTGACGAATGCATGCTGATGCAGTTTTTTTTTGTTAACCTGATTAAACTAAAGAATAATATAAAAACACTAGAGCTGAAAAGATAAAAGGAGGGATAGGATTGCAATGCGAGAGTTTGAAAGATCAACAATTCTGTCTGTAATCTTCTGGTCTACTTATATAGAGCGACATTGTCTTCCTTTACTTACAGCTGCATCTTGTGTTGGTTGACTCGTGCGGCGGCACCGCTTGAAGCGACTCTTTATGCCCGTCTGTTTCAACCGTTTCACCGTTAAAGCAGTCTAAGAGGATAAAGGAGATGGATGATTGGCAGAGAGGAAGACGAAAACGCCCTGAATAGTGGTACTCGTGTCAGTTCACATCCATCTCGCGGGTATCAACCGCCTCGACTGGCTGCCTCTCGCGCTCGCAAAGGCTAGAATAGCCTAACCAGGATACGGGCCCGTTGTGCGACCATGTAAGGGTTACAATTGGGTCTTGGTTGCATCATAAATGCCAGTTCTGTCAGCATGGCAAGGCGTTGCACCAGGCGGCATCACTATAGCCTACTGGCTACGGTTTTGAGGTGAAGAACTTGAACACTTCGCGGCCACGTGCGGCCCAGAACTGATTGCTAGTATCTGATCAGACTATGTGTAGTGAAGACGTGAGCACAGACTCATCCGTTTACTCTTGGTCCGTTTTCTTCTTCCTGTAGATCTACGTGCTGTGGGCCGTTCGGTAACGTCCGAAGGGGATCATACGTGGAGTAACATGCGGGAAGAAGTGTTCCAAGTGTGCCTCACAGGGGCCCTTGTTGCGGATCCTGGGGAAACACGTCGTGTTTGAAGACGAGTGCCCATGTTATGCCGCATTTGCGATTTGAGACGTGGGCATTCGGCCGCATTGAGCAGTAGATTAGTCCTCGATTGAAGCTGTCTATGGGTAACTAAGGCCTATTTATAGCTCATGATGGCTTCACCATGACTTGGCTTTTTTAAGCTCTTTAACGTCCGTCAAAACAGCTAGTGTTTTGGAGGGTGCAGATTTCATGACAGAAGGTGAAGCACTTTGGCCCGCTAGGAGGAGGGTTAGGGTTATCAGGTTACGGAGCTACCAGACTTTAGCTGAAACGCTATACTAGATATCAACGCCAAAGGCCCCTTTTAATGGAAAATAGCTGCTATTTATCGGGGACCCTAATAAGCCCTAAAACGCCTTAAATAACTGCTTTCTAATTATACGAAAGGCCTTAAAAGAAGGCTCACGTTATTATCGTATTAAAGTTAAACCTTTAATAATTAAATACTATAAAACCCCTTAAATTAATAACTTTTTAGGTAACCTATTAATTAACCTTAATATCTATAAATAAGAGCTTATTTTTTATACTTAAATAGCTTTAATTAAGAATAATTTTATTATTTACTGCCTTAGTGTAGCAGGGAGCCGGTTCGAACTCGGCTGGAGGTACCTGAATTTTCGGCTTAGTCACCCGGAAATTCAGTTAACCCGTGATTCTAATCACGTGATTTTAGGGGTGGAATTAAGCTAAGCCCACCTAAAAAATTAGCTAGTAGGCCTAGAGCTTTAGGGTAGGGGAAAATTAAGCCGGTATATATTATAGTCGTAATATAATACACCGCAGAAAAATTAGAATTATAGGTTAAGAATAGGCGAAAGCAAATAATTAGTACCTATAACCTATACGAGAAGAAATACGCCTTATATTATACCGGGTATAAGGCGGGGAAGGCTTTACGAATGCAAGTAGGTTTTTCTTCCCCTAAGGGTTTTCCTACTTAAAATATAGGTTAATGTACTAGAAAGGCATTAAAAAGCTCTTTTAATTACCTTGTAATTTATTATAAAGACTATTAATAGCTATTATATTATAATAGCTATTAAAGATAGCGTTTGAAGATAATTAAAGCTATTATAAGCCTAGCTATAACCTATATTATAAAAATATAAAAGAGAGGTTTTAATAAGATATAAATTAGTATTAAAAGGCGCTAATCGTACGAAAATTAAGGCGTAAATTATAAGCTAGTAAAAGATACTAGTAAAAGCTCGTTAAATTAACCTGCTTAATATAAAAGGGCTTTAATTAACCCTAGATTTTATAGCTATAATAGCCTTAATTAGCTCTATATTTTTAAGCTAGAACAATTATATTTTAAACCTCTTAAACCTT